TAACAGACAATACTAAAAAATGCAAAATCTGAAAGTATTCGCAAATACGAGAATACTTAAGCATGAGACGACCCATCATCTGAGACCTGCACAGCTGCATTCTGCCCACCTTGCCTATCTTGGTTTGAACTGGGATTTCAGTCGGATACCTCCCAAGGGATACTTCTGTGTGGCTTTTGTTTTGCTACTGTTTCTTTAAAATGGAAACAGAATTTATTTTTTAAGAAACAAATGCAGAAGCCCTTAAAAATCCAGGCTTCCTAACACCACTCTAGTGATACTTAATATAGCTCAAGTGTTCTACAGCTAGAAAAGAATAGAAGAGGGATAGGATATTTTCTGATAACATCTGATAAGATTATTTATCTTCCCAAAAGATTCACTTTTAGAAAGTCTTTAACTGGAAATTTTGCACATATACTTCATACTGTATTGTGAATATAGGAGAATACTTTGTTTTTCTTCACACGTGAACTGTTGATCTTTGTTAGTTGTGCATAACACTGAAAACGCAGCTAAGAGTTTCCAAGTCACTAAGTCATTAGTAACAGTCTTAAGGAAATACCTGTATTCTGTCAGTTTGAACAGACACTAATGGAAGCAGAAGCAGAACCCAGTTTTCTCAGGGAACTGATATCAAGCTGTGTTAAAAATACAGATTATTTATCTGGTCTTTCATCTAGTTTTGCTCAGCAGGACAAAATGTGGTTTCACAGATCCTCCAGACTGCATCTACAATAGCAGATAAAACAGGACAAGTGCACAGAGGGGACATCAGTACACTCCAGAGGAGGGTCTATGGGGTTTAGCTGTTAGCATGCTCTGTGCAACAGCTTTGGCCCATGTCAAGTAGTTCACTCCAAGGCTGGAGAGACCCTCCCCAACAGATTTCCCTGCTTTTGGAGAAAAAGCATTCATCAGGCAACAGTCCTGTGTCCATCTTATTTACTAGCACTGACACAGCCAGGAAGACCAGACTCAAACTAAAGCACTTGGTCTCCTGCACACATGTGGGTGCAGAATTACTGGAGAGATTAAATAGCTGCCAATATGACTGTTTCCACTTATGGCACTCAAAGATTTGCCTGTGAGTAGTAATTTTATTTACATTCATTTAAAAAGTTGGGGTTGCTTATTTTCCTTACTCTACACACCAGGGCTCTCTGCACACCAAGCTACTGAGAATCTAAGGCATTATATTAAACCCGCAGAAAGCTTGCTCTTTCACAGCCTAACTCACTTTGTAATGAAGTTGCAAAGTTGCTAAAATCATCTCAAAACACGCTGACCTGCAGCATAGCTTGAAATGGAGAATTCTCACAGGAATGAATGAGGACCGCTCATCCATTCTTTCTGCCAGATCTGCCACGAGGAGGGGTGCAAGCAGAGACCTGGGCTGGCAGTAGTAGCAGCACCCATGGTATGATGACCCAAAGTAGTGTTACCTATTTCTGGAGCTATTTAGTGTCTGTCCCATCAGTCTTTTCTATAAGGTGCAGTTCAGTAACACACCAGTCCTAATATTAAGCCTGGTATTAAATGCTGGATTAACCTTTATAGCATGGACATCTGTGCATTCCTGTTCTCAGTGTGGCTCTTGGTGCAAGCAACTGAATTTCTGACTCCCTTTAAAAAACAAATGAGGAATTAATTAGCAAAAAGTGAACTCTTTAAGTTTGACTTCAGTTAAATAGGACCACAGTATCTTTCCAATTATCAGTGAAACACTCCCCCAGTGGCAAATTTGGTTCCAAAACACAAGCTCTTTTCTTAAAATTGCTTCTGTAGCATGCTAAAAAGAGCTGCTGTCATGAAGTTCTGCTGTAAGACTATCCTCTCCCTGTTAAATAAAAGTTAGGCACGTATTGACCTTTCCATTGCTCTAGCAGAGGTGGTTTATCTGAATAGCATTAATCTTCCCAGGGAGAAAAAAACTGCCTTTGAAAATCATGTGCAATTCTTCAGCAGGGTTCTTCTAAACTCTGATAATATCACCAATGAGTCTAACAAATGTATCTAAGAATGCTGATTCAAGAGGTACTCTTTTTGTACAACTCGGTTACATTTCTTCCATCAAAATGAGCTTGAGCTTGGTATGGTGATACAGGAGCTTTTTTAGCATTGTCTGTAGAGGGTGACAGTCCGATTAACATTAGCCCCTCAAATCACAGTTCTTTAATCCAAAGGATTTATACAAGGAGACTATTTTTAGCAGTGGCAGTTTATGGCATTTCCTACTTAAATCTTTGGGATTATGTGAAAAGCAGCTGGAATCGTCTGTGCAGCCTTTTTGTCTGAACAAAACTGAAGCAAATGTAATCTTGCCTGGATTAAAAAAGCCATCCTGTTCAGTCCTCATTCACACTGGCAGATCTGTGATAACAGTCTGCTTTCAAAGCACTGCACTTGTGCAAAACCATTTCAAACCCTCTCAGAGAGGTATGTTTCTCCTTCATTCTCCTCAAAACTGTAGCAATATGGAATGCTGTAGCATTTGTAATAAATGGTGAACAGACAATCTGTTTTAGTTTGTAATCTCTCCAAAGCAGGGACATCACAGTGGATTTTATTAACAGCTCCCTGGGTTCCCGTATACAATGCATTTCTAGGGCCCATGCCAGGATAAATTGTTGCTAAACATATCTGACAGCAAGAGCAGCGCAGTGGTAAGAGCAATGGGGACGGAGCCATCTGATAAACTGGTCTTCACACAACCTCCATTTCAATAGCAGCTAAATGCAAAACCAAAAAGTTCCCATCCAGGAACAGGGAGCACATGTGCCAACCTACAGAGTGTGCAAAAGGATGCCCAAAACATGTGACTTCTAATTGTGTTAGGGTCTATAGGGGATGTGCAATTGAATACAAATTGCAAGTGGAAAAGAAAGGCTGTTTGTGTTATTTGCTGGGCTATTAGCTGAAGTAGAGAATAGGAGTGGTAGGTGAAGCTTTTTTCTGATTGATATAAGAATTTGTTCAGTCCTGTTGTGCTACCCATCTGACCTAGCATTCATCATTTAAAAAAGAGGCATATAGCCTGAACTAGCTGTTCAGGCATCCTGTGTATTTAGCAGAAAGAATTAGACAACTGCACAGGACAACCAGCCGACCCGAAACACCTAGGAGAGGAAAGAGGAATTGCCTCCTGGCACTGCTGTCCCTATCCATCAACTGGACAGAGCCACAACTATTATTTTAGAATAGAAAACTGTGCTTCACAGAAGCAAATTGGCATTCTCTGAGCCCTACTTTCAGTATTCATGATTTTTCAAAGATGCTGCCATGCTGGAGATGATCTGGAAAATATTTAAGAGCTACAGAAAAAACCTTTTAGTTATACTCCCACAGAACTCGATTAATTTACTTTATGCAACCAACATACAAGAGAAGACTTGATAGTAGTATGATTAACTTAAATAACAGGTGAGGCACTAAATATCCTTTGCTGAAAAAAAAGAGAAGAGAGGAAGAATTGATAAGACTGGAACCTAGATCCAGTCATCTCCAAGCCATCAGGATGAGCAATTCTGAATCTTTTTTTTTTTTTGGAAACTGTGGTTTCTCCGTTTCTTGGAACTTTCAGGTTGGGATTGAATGATTTTATATGGTACATGCTTTAGTGAAATCCAAGCTACTGGGCTCAAATGAAGGTTAATTGCATAGGAGAAATTCTACTTTTCACCTAAATCTGCTGGTCAGATAACAAAACTGGCAGCACAGAGGCACAGATATGATGATGGGGAACAGTTTGTTTCCATTTATTGGGTTATTGCTTTCCCCTAACTTATTTTAAGGATGATGGAACTAGTCAGTCTTCTCACTGTTATCTGATTTATGTTTTCTATTGCTTGATTAAACATTTACAAGGTGAGAAGATCTCACAATGTCTTTCTGATGCTTGAAACAAAACAGCACATGCCACCACAACCTGAGCAAGGGATACTGAGTGATGGAAATTCTCTATAATTTGGACTTCTTTTGATATCAGATTTCACTGATTATTTTTAATTTAACATTTAAGATAGGGAGAAATAGGGTTCCAGATGGTGTAATATTATTCATAATCTCCCTATAATAAATTGGAAGATTTCACTTTGCAAGGCAATATGTTATTCCACATCACTCACTCCTTAAGAGGTGTGAGCATGATTATTTCTGCAACTTCACAGAAAGAATCAGATTTTCATGTGATATGTGGAAACAAAGCATATATGTATATTCTACACCTTACTCACATCCATCCTATTTGTCACAAAATCACAGATTAATGGAACATTTGACATTGGAGGTTGGAAGAAGTCAATAAGGATCATCTAGTCCAAGCCCCTGCTTGAGCAGGGTCACAGCACATTCCCGTAACCCTGCCTGGATGACTTCTGAATATTTCCACACAAGGAGACTCCACAATTTCTCTGGGAAAACTGTTCCCAAGCTCAGTCACCCTTGCAGGAAGGAACTTTTCCCTCACATTCAAACAGACCTTCCTGTGTTTTGTTTTGTGCCCGTTGTCTCTACTCCTGTCACTACTAAGAAAGTCTGGCCTTCCTTTCACATACTTTTACATGTTGATAAGGTCCCTCAGCCCTCTCTTCTCCAGGCTTACGAGTTTCAGTCTTTTCTCATAGGAGAGATGTTCCAGTCTCCTAACCATTTTTATAACCCTATGCTGGACTCCAGTAGCTCCATATCTCTCTTGCACTGGGGAACCCAGTCCTGGAACCAGCATTCCAAGTGTGACCTCACCTGGGCTGAGTAGGGGAGGTGTATCAGCTCCCTCGACCTTCTGGCAACACTCCTCCTAATGCAGGCCAGGACACCATTGACCTTCTTGGCCACAAGGGCGCATTGCTGACTCATGGTCAATTTGATGTCCACCAGAACTCCCAGGTTCTTCTCTGTCGCTGGCCGGTCCTCAGCCTGTGCTGGTGCATGGGATTTTTCTTCCCTAGGTGCAGGGCTCTACATTTACTTTTGTTGTTCCTTTCTGCTTCTCCAGTGTACTGAGGGGCAGCACAGTCTTCTGATATGCCAGCCACTCTTCCCAGTTTTGTCTCATCAGCAAACTTGCTGAGGGTGCCCTCTGTCCCTTCATGCAGGACAATGACAAGTTATACAGGATCGGGCCCAGTACTGACCCTTTACTGAAGTGAGTGGACATCATCCGCTGCTCTCTCCTCATCTACCCCTTCAGTCATACCTTCATTGAAGGCTACTTTGCACTCTTTAAGCACAATTTCCCCTTTGTGAATCCATGCTGCATATTCCATATCACTTTCATGTGATCTTGTCTTGTCACCTCTCTTCACACTGCATCACTTCTTTCCTCATTCATTGTGCTGTTCCCTTATTTAAACTCGTAAGAACAAACTGTCTTTTCCTCCTGAATATTATGTCAGATAAACACATGTTCTCTTGCAATTTTTAGTGGCAATCAGAATCATCACTCCAAATAAAATAACAGTGTGTCACAAAGTCCTTCCCCTAGCACCACTAATGAAAGGGCAATTGCTCCAGATACATCTGTCGCTGAAGAATATGGACTTACAGACCTACCTGTAACAATTTTGGTAGTTGTGGCACCACTGTAAGATGTATGTTTTCTATTAGTTAATGACTCCTGTTTACACATTCCCAATTTATACACTGTGACAACCCTCTTTGCCACTTGGACTTGGTGGTCTTGTTAATAAAGTTGTAGAAAAATACTGTGGTTTATCATATAGTCTCTTGGACTATAATAGATACATATATATTATATAAATGACAATATATACAGAGAGAGATATACCTAACCCTGTACTCTCTCTGCTTGGTTGTAGATCACGTATGTACTTCCTGAACAACAGCCTTAGGTCACTTAAAGGATTAGCACTATAGAAGGGTCACAGATGATGAAGATCTTCCTTATGACCTGAGGAGAGGGTTGCCACGACATGCAAGTGGTGAGATTGGCAGGCCATCCTAGAAGACATTTTCATTAACTAGGAGAGGGTTAGATGCAGCTGCTTAATGTCAAGCGTATTCTGTCAGGCACCTCATCAATCACCTTATCACAGAACATACTGAAGCCATTCCCTATTGCAACCTGAGGTGAATTTGGAATAACATGAGAAAAAGAGAGTCCAGAAAATCTTGGAAGTGAAAGAAGCTTGGTTTGAGTTCATGAGCTGAATGCAACTTCCTGCTTCAGACAATATGAATTTCTTTAGAACAGCCAAATCTCAGCTTCCACAGCATCCCTCCAGAGACACCTAACGAAAATTTTAAGAAATTCAATAGTTGTGTTAGAAAATTACTGTGGGGGCTGGAGAAAAACAAACTCATGTTAGCCTTGCCAGTTTCTATAATACAGTGCACTGGCACCCCAAAGCAACATTACTGCTTTTTTGTTAGCATTTTAATCATAAACCCTTTTATCAAGGTTTTTCAACTGCCTTTTCTAATTATGTTGGACTCAAATTTGTCCACTGGGACGTGAATGCTTTGAGAGAAATTCTATTTAAGTTTCTTTAACCTCTTTCAACAGAGAGAGGCACAAGGAAAGATTTAACTTCTTTCTGTGCTTTCAGACTTCTCTTTATTACTCTCCTGTGACGCTGCACAGAGCAATTTGGTGCAGCAGTTTGAGGCAGGTCTGGTAAATTGCTGTGGTTCCTAGTCCCAGTGCTGGTACCCTGTCTTCTTGGGCAAGTCCTTTGACTTTTTTCTCTCACCCTCCTTACGCATATTGCATAGGAGCTGAAGGAGTGACACGGAGGAATTAATTAAAGAGGTCCTGTAGCCACCACAATACACTGATTTCATGCAGTTATACTGCTGTAAAATATTTCTTCCATGTCCCACTTTATCCATATCCACTCATGTGTTGTCATCCCTTCCTATGTTCAGTCTCATTAATATTTTAAGCTCTTAAGTCAGTACCTGACATCTTTTATTCTCTGCAAAGTTGCCTGAATGTTTTCTGGCTATTTACAAGCAAAAGTAAAATAATTAATAGTATCAATAGCAACTATTTGGGGGCAGTTTAAGTTTTTCAAAAAAGGTACTCTATATTCATCTTTTATTTTTATTATTATTATCATCCATTCTGAAATGGCAGCTTAGTACTTCCAAGGGACTAACATAACAACATGCTTCAAAATGACATTTTAACCACAACATGAGTCTTTGTTTTTTTTTTCTTTTGAAATCATAATTTTGAATTATTTGAATTGAAGCCAGAAAAACTGAAGACATTTCTGGCTATCTGGTTGTCATTTGGGGTGGGATTCAGGAATCCAAATTCAGATGCTTGCAGTGTAGACTATCTGTATGTAAACTACTCCTGTAAGATGCAGTTTGCCTCAGACAAACTCCTCCTCTACAAATTCCTGTTCTTTCCCTGAATGTGCAAGAACTCTGAATAAATGCCTCCTACCTATACTGAAGATACCCAGTGCTGGTGTTTCCTGCTTTGGAATTGTGATGGTCTTCTTCAGTTTGCTCCTTTTTTTTTTTTTTTTTTACAATTCCAGTTAACATCATGAACTCGATGAGCATTGCAGCTGAGCTGACTTCACTCCTGGCAACTCCTTGCCTGGACAGCAGGACAAGAAGGATGGCTAGACTGCTGCAATGGGTAATATACTTGCTATGTGGATAAGAGTTGCAGTCGATGAAGCTGTCAGTCTGGTGTTTTTTACTGACACAAAATTCCTTTTAAAGTGAGAGTAGTGAAAATAATGCCACAAAGAAGCAAATAGAATGCGTTCATGTTAGCAGCTTAGGCTTATCTAAGAGCATATTTGATCCTGAGATACTTCAGAAAGTGTACCCGAAATTTAAAGAGAATAAGATATCCCCAGTAACAAACTATTGCTTTATCTCAGCAAAGATTCAAGGTTGCAGAAGCTTCCAAGTTGAGTCCTCTCACCAAAAATGTCAACATCAGACAAGACTCGCGCTAATTAATTCAACTATTTTCCCCTTGCAGTGGTACCCAAAGGAAGCGCTCACCATCCGTGAGCACCTCCAGCTCTCCGGGGCAGCGTGGTCCGCCTGGGAGCGCCGCTGCCTTCGCATCCGACTCCATCTGCTCTGCTGAGTGCAGGCGGCAGCGGAGCGGCCGTGGGAACTGACGGGTGCCACAAGTTTATTTGGTGCCTCTCTTGGTGCTTTGGTTTCCATTCTGAACTTCCACTTTGTCACTGTCTGGGTGTATGTATTGAGGAGGGATTTGTAGGGAATACAGAGATGCAAAATTCTCTATGTTAAGGTTATTATTTTAATCTGCTTCATTGAAGGATGAAGCAGATTGGAGAAAAGAATGGTTATTGCAAGGGCCCTGGTGGCTTAGGGAATGGGAAGAGAAAATTGAATGATTTACTGAAGTATATTTTAGAAAACTCTCAAAATGTGAATAATATTTATACTTTAAAATCACTTCAGATCTATTAGAGCTTATCCAAAGACTAACAGAAATGAAAATGTAGTCATTTTTTCATCTGAAAATGTTTAGGTTCTTTTTAGCAGACATGAATGAACACCAGACTGCAACATTCGACACACAGATGCTAAGGAGAAGGAGAAGCAAAATTTACATTTTGGATCAAAATGCTGACATTGTGGCTAATCTTTCATTCTTGCATGTTCCTTGAACACACCACTGAGTTTTTTTGCTCTAATCTCTAATGGGCAATGGAAACAACAAAAATTTTCCACTACAACATCAAAACGCGTCATAAACTACAGCACCCTGCTTTCTGCAAGTGACCAACATGTACTAATTCACCGCTGCCTTGGGATCTGTGTGTAGAGTCACAGATAAAATGTGAACTGAGCAGGAGGAAAACACTAAACATGCCTTTTAGAAATAACAATAAAAAATCCTGTGGTTTTGCTTCCATTAATTAAACTCCCATCACCATTTTTCTACTTTTAAGCATTTCTTAGCTGCTTTAATGGCATGACGTACATCCATTTCTACAGTGTGGCAAGTTGGCATTTCCTTTGCTTTTGTGTTCACCACAGCCCCATCTTCTCACCCACTGTATGGATGAGACCTGTGTTTCACCACGGCCAGCTTTGCCATTGTTTTACCTGCTGTCAGCACTGGACACTTTTAGACATTATTCATGTTCATCCTTTTAAGGTAAAATGAAAGGACTTCTTTCTGAAAAGTCTTCCGTTTCTGGAGGGGTTTATCCCTATCATACTTCCACTTTGCTTTGGGATCCAGTAATACTCGAATTATTCCATCCAATAAGTAACTTCTGTGCACAGCAGAAGATATGGGACTTCCATACCTGGTGCATGACTTAGGGCTGTGAGAGGCCTGGATAGAGAAAACCTGCCTTGCTAAGCCACTACACCAAGGGGACTTGCCCTACGCAAAGCTGGGGTAAAGACAATTTCCAAGAGCTGCTTTTTGAAACTCATGCCCTGACATGACAGGAGTTTTTGAAACTCATGCCCTGACATGACATCCTTCATCCTAGTGCCAGAAGAACAACCATCCTCAAGACAGATTTCTTGTATGACCTCTAGCCAAAAACAGATATGCTCTTAGTCCTGCCCACATCCAGTGTGACATTTAATGTTGGGACTAATCCATAAAAATCTTAAGGGCATTGAGGAAATTTCCACCTTTGGGTGTCTGAAAAATATATCTTGGTAGATGAATATGATGCAGCAGATTTATTTTTCATGCTATCAGATATGTCCTACGCAGCTTGGAAAAGGGTGCAAGAAGAGAGATCCTGTCAAGAAGAGCTCAAATCCATATTTGGTGTGGTGCAGTGACTGAACGTGATTATTAGATAAATTGGTGGAGGACACAGGAAGGACAAGAGCTACTGCAAAGATAGTTGTTTCACAGCACGTGCATAGCATTTTTCAAAGGTGTAGAAGCACTGACAAAATGGCTTGGGACAGCAGGAGAGACCACCCCAATGCATGTAGGAGAAGACAGAAGGAAGCAGCAGGGCTGACTAATGTTAGTGGAAATACAAAGACAGCAAACAGGAAATTAAACTTAAAAGTATAGACAGATAGTTTTGGTATCCAGGTCTTGTCTGGGAATTGAGCCCTGTAAGAAGGACCAATTTGAGACAATAGCAGAAACCACAACATTTTACACAGCTGGAGGTACAGTTTCAAACTGCTCCCCTGTGCTCCCATTTCTAGCACTTGTTTATGAAGATTGCCTTCTTTGTTTTTCTTTTTACAAACCATATTTCAAAGGCCCAAGTAGCAATTGAAACAAAAATACAAGAACTCATAAAACTTTACTGCTCTATTATAAATTACAAATCCCAGGCTAACATGCAGTAGAGAATGAAGAGCAGTTCTCTGCTTTACTTCTAGTGTTTAATGTCTGCTTTTTTCCCCTCCTACTGTGTGCAACAAACTCTTCATGTCTCTTTATAAAGTGTATTAAAAGCACAGTATCTTTAGGTACAGCTAAAGGAGAGAGAACCCCATGCAAAGAGAGTAGTGCATAAACACAGGGACAGAAACACTCCCAGATCCAAAAGCAAAGATAGGTCTCTTCGGCTTCTGCTCATTTCTGTAACGGCCGAGTGGCGGGTAACCAAAAAATCTTGATCAAGACAGGCACTCTGTTTATCCTTCTCTAATTATCTCTGCACACCAGATGTCACTGGATTAACCTGCCCCATTCAGCTACAAGAAAAGGTAGCAGAAGCAAAAGCTGGGCAGGATAATTCAGTATTGTCCATCGGGATAGAGAAGAGCAAGTATCATTTTTCTTTCTTGTTTGTTGGGGATTTGGCTGAGGCAAGAGCAGCGGGCTTAACAGCATGTAAAAACAATTAGTGTTGGAACAAGGGTATCTCCGAAGAGAAAATGTCCCTATTTGAATCATATCTCCACCTGTGCAGAAGTGCAACATGGCATTTGCAGGGATACCCTTCCCACCCTTGGAAACGCAGGCAGAGCCCATGGGCAGTTGCTGCGCTCTGCTGCGGGCCGGCTGCTCGTCCCGCCGTGCTGGGAGTGGATCCTGCTGACTGGGGGGAGATGCTTCCGTGCCTTTCTGCCCACCTGAGCTTGTATCTTTCCACAGCTGAGAAAAAAATAGCCTCTGACACAAGGAGCAAAAGGTCTTTGGGGAAATGCAAATGCATCCCGCTTGGCTCTTTAGGCTGTGAGGTTCTCAGGCTGGAGAAGGCTATTTTTGGAGGATGGAGCTTAATTTTAGCTGGGGCCTTTAACTGTGTCTATCATATAGTAATAAACAGAAATAAATGCTTTTCCCTGACAGCTGAGTGTAGAGAATTGCAAGGATTTTCTTGGAAGAAAGAGCATGTGAGCTGCCCTCAGCCAGAGGAAGGTGCTGAATGCCAGCATGGGGGCACCCCATGGCTCCTCCATCCCCTCAGCATCAGCAGAGGTCACTCAAGTGGCAGCTTCGCCCAGTCATGACTCTCATTGCTTACTGGGAGGCCGGTTTCCCTTCTGTGGTCATTTCAAAAGAGTAATGCAACCAGGTCTCCTGACTGAGGTACAGCATCATCAGTACTCAGGGTGAAACCTAGGTCTATGCGTCTGCATGGAACAAGGTACTGGCATCACCACTGCTTTGCTGATGATGTCGAAACAGGCAAACACTTCTTAACATGGACACCTGTGATTTTCTCCTTCAGGGTTTACATTTATTGCATATACTTGCCACAAGTTTAAGCAAGACAATGTCAGCAAACAGCTAGTAAAGTGGATTTTGAAGGTAATACTAAAAATACTTGCTCAATCTTTCACAGTGTTATTGAACAAGACATCTCACACAATATTGACAATATCTTAAAATCGTTGTCCCTAGAAGGTTATTATTTCACTGTATTTTCACAGTTGTCTCTTCTGTTAAATATCTTACTAGATAACAAATGACAGGACATGGTTGAACATGTGTTTGTTTTGTATCTGCAACAGAAAAATGCTCCTGAGCAAAACTCATCAAGCCTTTTATTTTTTAATAAAAAATTGATCCCATTAAGAATATATTCTGGATCACCTTCAAGAATATAATTTTAATTATCCTAAATAATTGCATTTTGCAGGCATTTGGTGAGGAAGGGCATTATTTTCTGCTGTATACTGTAGTGGTAAATTGCTCTAGATTTAAAAACTACTTTTGGCTACAGCTTTTATTTGTACAAAAAGGTCAAATCCTACTAAGCTGAACAACTGCTAGCAGAAATTGTTAGTGGGCTATAGTCAAATCAGAAAGCTCACAAAGCAGCATCTCTACTCAAGAGAGATTAGGGAGGTTTAGGAGCTCATTGTGTACAGAGGAAGAACAAACATCAGCTCCTTTCCATAACACCTCCAGAGTCTTCTCCCTCATTAAAGCCTCTCAAAAGATGTTTGCTAGGCAAGTTGTCCTTTCGGGTCTCCCTGAGCCTTCTAATCTCTAATCACCTGATAAAGGATTTACGTGCACAACAGCTTGTCTAGATGACTTTTCTTCAACTACAACAGTTTCTCTAATAAAGCAGATGACTTTTTGCCATGACTTTTGCTTCACTTATTCACTGGCAGTGATGTGAAATCACTGTTTACATTACCATTTATATACAAAATCTTGGGAAGAGAAGCACAGAAAACAGTCTTAAGAACAATGCATAATATGTCAGGGAAACTGTTGCATATTCAATATCTCCAGGGATGGAAACTCCACAGCCTTGCTGGGAAACCTGTGCCAGTGCTCAACCACCCTCCCAGTGAAGAAGAGTTTTCTCATGTTTAAATATTATTCCCTGTGTTTCAGGCTGTGCCATTTGCTTCTGGCTTGTCACTGCGCACTACTGAGAAGGGTCTGGCTCTGTCTTTCTCTGTCTTTCAATTTATAAACATTGATAAGATCCCCCATGAGCCTTCTCTATGCTAGACAGCCTCATGTATGAAGACACATGTGACAAGATTTCAGTAGAAAAGAATATGTCTTCAGAAGCTAAATTCTAGCTAATTTTACCATAGTTATTATTACCTCATCTGACAGAAAATCAGACTGGTATCTCATATACAGTGATGGGTTTGATTGGCTCCTACTCTTTAGGGTAGTTTTTGGCTGTCATGGCAGCATAGACTTCCATGTACCATGATGTGTCTATCCATCTGGTTAAAGTGGCTCTAGGCTACACTACCCTACCAGGTACCTGTTGTGCTGCAGCCTAGGCCAAAACTACGGTTTTAGATGCCAACTGTTCCAGCTACTCTTTTTTTGTTTTGTTTTGTTTCAATACTATTTTGTTCCTGTTTGTTCCTGCAATTAAACCTGCAGGAGACACTCTTTGTCACAGGCCTTGCCCCCTCTCCTGACTGCAGCAGACCAGCTGACCGGTCACGGTCAGTGTGACCACTCTCAGAGGATGCTGAGCTCCACACTGTGCTGAGGTTTCCCTCCTGCAAGTAGGCCGGCTACTGAGGCTAACAGTTCCACATTGAACTAAGTCAGAGCAACTTCATTTTTATAAGCACATAGAAATGCTAGTCCTGCAATGACAACACAGCACAGCCTTCAGTTTGGCTTCCTCTGCCAAACTTGAGGTCCTCTGCCTAACTTTATAGTAGCTTGACAAGTATGGAAGGATGATCAGACTTGGAGAAATTGACTTGGAAATTTACTACTAGACTATGCTAAGCCTTAGGAGCACTGTGCAATAATGTGTCTGCTTTGCCCAACGGTAAGAATGCAGCTGTCAGAGATCACTTACATTGGAATCTGTGTTTCTAAAGATTAATTAGAAAACTCTGAACCTACTTTAATTTTTTACCAGAAACAGACTTCAAATATCAGTTCTATTTGGTATTAATAATCTTGATTTTTTGTTACTCCATAATATAAGCCTCACTACTGCAATTCTGCATTAATATAATTGAAGAGATGATGGCACACAAAGACTTTAACTGGGAGCAGGGTACCCTGGAACTGGAAAGTCTATTGATACATGTGAGGCCATCCACGGTGTCCCTATGAGTTTGAAATCAAATTTAAAACAAGTTATAAGAATGAAAAAAAACAGAGGGAAGCTGAATGCAATGGTGATGAGGTTAATCACAGCGGTGATGCTGTGGTTACGTAAATCTCAGCTTTGTTGTTCCACATTTTTACTAAGACTGATTATTATATTTATTTTACTAAGACTGTATTAATAAAAAAAGAAAAAAAAAGGAATATCAACCTGGCATATCTTGACTGTTCCTATATGACAGCTATTTTGGAGATATCTTTTCTAGTCTGCACAAGGCAGTGACTTCTTGAGGAGGGCTTCAAGCAAGGTGGTAGTTGCACTGCAGGGTGAGTACAGCACATACAAGGCACAATGGGGAAAGAAGATTTGTCTTTTGGGAACAGGCAGAGAAGGAAACCTTTGAAGCTGATAGTATGACCATGAAAGACGAATAACAGAGACCGGTTCTCAGACGAATTCAGAAAAGTAGGGCATCATGAAATCTTACAAAGCCTTGGATATTCAGTAGCAGAAGGGGTGAATTCCCGAAGAATTTCAAATGCACCTATATGGCTGACTGAAATATATTGCTCATTCTTTTTAATAGATTGGAATGTGCCATACAGGCAAAACGAACCTTGAAAAAATGTTACAGTAGTCTTCACTATTATATGAGTGATGGGGGTTTGAATGGCAGTGTGCAAGAAAGAGAAAGCATTAGACTAGGATATCCTACGGTAGGATTTCTGTTAGATTTAAATACAGAGTGAATGATTGAAGAAAGGAGAAAGCAAATCCTATGTACTGTCCAGGTGACACAGAGTTAGTGGAAATGTCAATGAGAGCAGAGAACTGGAATTTGAGAATTTGACAAGGAAGATGAGAAGTTTGGTTTTTGCTATGTCTATGATTAGATGTCCAAGAAGAGATGTCAAAGAAATAGGCCAAATGTCAGAGCTCAGTGAAAGTGTAAGTTGTAGTGAAGAGGCAGTTTGAAATATCTTGCAGTGAGCTGCAGAGAGAAGAAACTTAACTGACAGATAGAAAGTCAAAGCCCTAGTTAATCATGGAAAGTTAGAGAAGGACAATATTTTAGAATGAAAAATGTAGTTAACATACATAGAAATCATCTATATTTAAAAAGGATCAAAGCAAAGGAGAACAAAGATAAGAATTTTTGTGAGAAGACCAACTTTCTGGTCAGACTGTTTTAATAGGTCTTACTAAGGCTTAATTACAGCTAGATTTTTATTAAGGAGAACAGGAAAAGTGCTCTGTGATTCTTTATTATGGAACAATGTAATTATATTGAATCCACCTAGTATCTTCATCTTTTTCTCCTGCTACAAATGGACTGGGAAGTTGCATAATTGAAAGGATAGGATATTGTTCCAGACATTGAAGTAACAAAGTGCAGGACATGTTTAATGTAAGACTACAATTAAAAGAATAAAAACCTTACGATATAAAAAGATTTTATGATGGGAATGAAGGAACCAGAGGTTTTCAAGACTGTAACATGTAATTATTACTAATAATCTAGTTTTTATGTAGCGCCTTTCAAACTGAGGCTTCCCAAAATGCCTTTGAGAAGATATTGTAAAGAAATGCTTTTAAGAATTTCATTTTAAGCTTTTTACATTTCGGCAAAGTAGAAGCAGCCCTTGCAAAATCACCATTGCAAGCAGAAGGAAAAACAAGGTCTGTTCAGAGAGCATGGTGTAATTTGGCTCGGTGTTTCATGCACCCCCTCCATCTCCTTCTCTCCTATCACTCCACTGCATTTCCCTACTCTCTCCCACTCCTGGGTCTCCACTCTCTTCCATTTCCATCAGTGTCACTGCTACGTTATTTCTCACGGGATTTTTCATCCCCATCAAAACCTAGGCCTATTGCTGATATAATGTGACATTTGCTTCCTCATATAGTTCACCCTGTGCGTTCAATTCCACATTTGGTATCCACTTCGCCCAGAGAGTGGACGGATGTGGGGGGACAGGGTGACCTGCTGCTCTGTGCTCAGCAAAGCCCTAGGACTCATGGGCACACCATGGTACTTGAGATCACTCTTCTATTGCTCCCTTGAATAAAGACAGCCCCAAATGTAGTGTTTTCTGTTGGGTTTGTTACTGTCCTGGCAGCCAGGTTGCATTAATCACATCTTGGGGGAATGCAACCCAGCCTTGTGCCAAAAATTATAAAGGTAACTTATGAATATAGAACAAGAAGTAAAGAATAGCAAACATATTTCCTTACTGAATTCAGGGAAATGAAACAAGATGGTATCTGGCCATGTTTTCTGGGCTGATCAAGATTGATCAAGATTCTGATATCTCACCTGAAAGACAACATTTACAAAAGCACTGTTCCTCCATCACTGTCTGCGAGCACTGGGAATTTACTCGCCTACGAGGAAGGGTCATGAACTCTCAGGAAAATTTTGCTATTCCCATGCAACTGCTTTACTCTCTTTGTGACAGGCACTGATCTGGAGCCATTTTTTTTTATTTATTTCATACACTAACAATGCTCAGGACACTGTTACTGAGGCTAATGGAAACATATTTTGAAAAAACTTTCAGGTCCAGCAGTGATAGAGGCCAGATAGATACGTTCTGGTGGATTTTGAGATGCACAGCTTCTTTAACTACTCAAAATACCACTAAGTACCAGTGGTGTGACGGATCCAAGGTCCAAATATCTAACTTCTTTTCTCCAAAAAGGAACTGACATGCCAAAGAAAATTAGCTGAGAATGGTACTACCATTTGAAAGGAGTTCTGGGAAAGAAAAAGCTATAAAGTGTGACAATTTGGGGTTTTGATCATACATTTTAAAAAATCTAGTTATTGATTCCAACATTGTAACTTGAATTAATGGGTTCATTAGTATCTCTGCAGTTCAGATTCTGTGCCACTTTCAGAAACTGGGATTCAAATAAAAGAACAAATGAAGAGTGAATGAAACACAGGATACTGTGCATTGACACATATACAATGCAATACCTCTTTATAGACTTTTTACAAAACTCTCCTTATGTCAGAAAGTTGATTTTTTTATGCTTGTATTTCTCAGTTATCTAGTAAACTGAAGTATGGCTTCAATTCTGCATGAAATATGGATTCTGAGCTAAGCTGTTATTCATTGCTCCCCCAAGACTAAATTGACATTTTCCTTAATATTCTGTGGCATGTAATGTAAAAATGCAGAACTCATTCTGGTGAGATTCTGAGAATCACTGGTTTCAGTGGAAATTGAGGGCATTTGGACTCACTACGAACCTTCACTTCTTGCTATCATATCCATGTTTATACCAGCCCATCAAACTCTGTATCACCTCTAACTCGAGTCTGAGTCAAACATGAAACGAAGAGGAAGACGACAAACACACAAAAAGACATGCTGGTGTTGAAATGCATTTACATTTCAAAATAAGACTTTGCAGCAGCTGAGCTCTGTGCAATACTCGAGCGGGAAAGTAAAAAGCTGAAAACTGTGTATGGTAGTTTACGTGCCTGATATATGTGCTTTTGGGGATTACCTGACTGCACCTAGCATGTGTGACCATGACTGGATCTTTTTGATTTCCTTTTCTGCAAAGAAAATGTAGTAAGTTAGGGGTATAGGGAGGTTGTGTGATGCTATCAGTGCATTCCCACATCCTTCAGCAAGCAGGACTACTGCTGTTGTGACACCGGTGTGCATTTTTGCTATACGCGCTCTGTGATATGGGAGGATTAGCCAAAACTGTACATGAAAATACAGAGGCACTATCTGAAGAAAGTGCTCGATACATTCAATGCATTTTGAGCTTAAACCATCTGAGAAGTTTTACTCCTCACTAAATGGAGTGAGCACATGAATATGCGGGTGTTAAAGATCCTGCTGAGAAAGACAGTGCCTCAGATCTCCCAAGGTGCAGGGAGAGGGGAAGGTCAACGCAGGAGCTGCAATGTCTCCTGCATTTGCAGTAGCAAAGCTCCTCCCATTGAACTGGGAGCTGCAGCAACCTCTCCTCTTAATAACACAGAAAAACAACGACTGAAGACCAAACTTTTATGGATGATGTAAATGACTTCTTGAGAAAGTGTGGAAGAATGAGTGTTTGCATAGCTGGAGGATAATGTACCCCTTTACGTAATTTATCAGAAAAATCAGAAACCAGAGATGTGGGGAGGAGAAATAAATAGAGAATTTTTGTGCTAGATGCCATTTCTATAGTATCATTTCAATTATAATAGCCATGTAAACAGCAGGAGAAACACAAGGGCAGCAGTAAAAGCAGATGTGTTCACAAGAGCCCTGATTTAGCAATTCTGGCATTTTTATAGAGGAGGCTTCATCTTTGCCATTGCTGTGGGAATAATGAGAAAGGGAAATAATAAGAGCATTTCTTCTGACTAAATCCCCTGTATCTTTTCTTGTCTATTAGCAAGTGTTTGAAAGTAACTGCTAGACTTAACAGTCTGACAACATAAGGTAATGATTGGGGTAATTTTATACCCTCATTACCCAATCCTGAAAAATAAAATTTGTCCGCTATTTCATCCAGATCAATCCTATTTCTAAACAGCTTAAAACAGAGACAAAATCATGCAAAACTTGAGGCTAGAGAGAATATTACATGGTCACAGTTTGGCTTCCTGTATAACAAGACCGAACCTTTTCTCCCCACTCTTTTGCAATAAATCCAAAAGCTGGTTGTGAATCAAACAACTTTCTCAAACACATTCAGTCCGAATACAAAAGGAGAGAGATTTTCTGCAATAACTAAGCACTCTCATCATTGAGAGTCTGTGTCTTTTGTTCTCGTTTAAATTTGTCTGCCTTAGTTATTGGTATGACTTTCCTCAAATGGCAGAACACAATTTCCAGGTTTTTTCCCTACTTGGGGATGTATGCCTTTCTGTTAATTTGTCACTCCAGGTCCTTTTTGATACCCCGCACAGAGCAACCTTAGGAAGAATCAGGTCAAGCAAAGGGAACTGCAACACAAAACTCCGTGCAATTAATACAGTGTAAAAATAATCCAAAATTCTCACTGAGAAGCTGTTTCCTCCCACTTTCAGATCATTTTCGTGAATCTCTAGGCATGTTCTCTAATTCTTCAAGAACATTTCAAAAAAATGCTGATATCAAAACCTTATGGAACAGTTCTGTAGCAGCCTCACCTGTACCTGGATTGAAATCATTTCTTTGTCCCTGCTCACTTCCCACGTCCAAGATTCAAGTTTCCCTTTGCAGTGACCACCATTCACTTCACCATTCTCTCAGTTCCCAAATGATATCGTAATAACTGTTTTTGGCAATAAATCCTCCATTCTCTTGGTATAGCCCAAACTTTCTGTTCCTCTTTATCAGGCCCCTATTGGTTGCATGAAAATCTTTTCTGTATGAACACTGAATGATTCAGATGCCTGCCAAGGCCATCTCACCTTCATTGGCCCCTGCGTTACTTTACCAGCATCATCCAAAGTTTCTATCAGGAATGAGTTCAGAATTGTTTCCAGATCTTTTCAAAACTTTCAGTAATATTCAATTTACTACCATTTGCGATCCCCTGCTGGAATAGCTCCTATTTGTTGATGATTCCAAATGAAAATTAGTTTTTGGAATCTGACTGCTAGACAGCTCTGAACCCACTTTAAGATGCCTTTTACTGATACTGCACTCCATTACATTTTTATTACAGTCGTGTTTGTTACTAAGGAGTCTGAACGTATCCCAGTTAGGTGATTATCTTTAATAAATAAATTTGTATACTTATCAGGAAGGAAATCATCTGTGCTTGACAGGACCTATTTTCCCATCCTTTATTGGCATTAATTATGCTGTCATCCTTTAATTCTTTAACAAATGAGTCCCATACATCTTTTGGATCGCTGTCTGGCACAGCCCACATATAATTATCTGGGTCATTTTTCTTACAGGATGAATATGAGCACAACAGTAGTTGTCTTCTAGTCCCAAGGACTTTCCACAACATACCAAGGTAGGCATGCAGCGATCACACACATAATCCCAGCATGGTTGAGGTTGGAAGGGACCTCTAGAGATCACCTAGTCCAACCCCCCTGCTCCAGCAGTGACACCTAGAGCACGTGGCACAGGGTGGCATCCAGGCGGGTTTGGAAGATCTCCAGAGAAGGAGACTCCACAACCTCTCTGGGCAGCCTGTTCCAGGGCTCACAGGAAAGAAGTTCTTCCTCACATTCAGGTGGAGCTTCCTGTGTTTCAGTGGGCCAGGAGTCTCCATAGCTAGCTTTCCTTCATCACCAGCCCCACGGTTAAAGCTATTTCTAACTCTGTAGAAGTTTTTGTGCATGTCATTGCAACTCTTTCAGTCACGGAAGCTGACTGTGACTAAACTCTTATTTTTCTTCCTTTCCACACAAGATGCGTATTAAAAATTGCAATTATCTTAGTACTGAGTTGTCATTCTACAGCCAAATTGCGTCCTGCAGTGTAACATGGAGAACTACACAGTCTTTCACTGTTTTTTGCATTCTTTTCCTCCATGTAATGGTTATTTCCAAGAAACAGTCTGCGGGTTCATTAAATCTCTTAATGCCTTCAGCAAAGTTACAAGTTGAGCCTCATTCGATGAGGAATTGATAGACATACTTGATAGTAACTCACATTGAAAATGAAAAAGCCTCTCAGATAGTTACAAGTTGAGCCTCATTCGATGAGCAATTGATAGACATACTTGATAGCAACTCACATCATTGAAAATGAAAAAGCCTCTCAGACAAAATATGTTCTGATTCAGTTAGAAAAGTTTTGTTTAAAAAAAAAAGATTTATGGCCATGGTATTAATTTTTCTCTCTTCTCCCAAAACAATCAATTGGATATTAGCACAGGAAAGAAGAAGAAATGGAAAGAATTTGGTGTAATCATCAAGATTCTGGGTATTTTAGGAAGAATCAGACATTGAGGAATTTGGGAGATTTTCATGAAAAAAATGTAAAAATTTTATTTTTGAGGCTTTTGGAGGACTGTTATCAAATTTTAACAATGTAAGATTTTCGCAGACAACACGCAAAAGAGTCTACATACTTTCCTGGCTTCAAAAATGTTTTATTGATTTCCAAAAAGCATCAGAGAATATTGCAAACCTCTAGGTAGACTTTTTATACTATATAGAAGATTTCCAAGAACACATGACTATTTCTTGATCTTCCATTCAATACTGGTTGATGAAGGTCACATCTTTAGAAAGATAAACTCAGTGCTGGTCTTCAATATTAATTATCCTCTTTGACAAAGCTTACAGTTTGTTTCTAGTGTGCATTTCTTCAACTTTCAGCTGTGTCTTGTTACAACTTTGTATAGCAGACTAAAGATCCTTGTTAGCAACTTTTTCTTTCCCTTTGTAGACACTTCTGAACTGAAAAGATACTTTCCTTTAACCTTTTCTTTG